GAGGATTTTGTGAAGCTGCCAATGAACTACTTACGAATCCTCTGAAAGACTATGAGAGTGCGTGTAAACCTCCAAGAGACACAAAGTTCAGTTCATCTTTGCAGCTTGTTTCATGCCTCTGATGCCCAGCATGGTAATATAAAGGCATAAATTACAAGGTGATAGGGTTTGCCGGTTCCAGGCAAAACAGGTTTGTTAAATCTACACAACCCTCTGTTCCAGAAGAAAACCTTTAAGCAAAAGGCTGGCTTCCACCCAGATTTAAAAGAGAAGATTGCTATTCAATGGGCTGTGTTAGCAGGAGTCTGTGACCAGCTGGTGGGAATGATCACGCACTCTATGATAGGTTAGCAAAGAGTAAGGCTTGCTCTAATTACAGGGGGGTTTTTTTGTTGGGTTTTGTTTGTTTTTTTTTAACAGAGTTTTGGTTGATAGGAATCATACCAGGATTTGAAGAAGGGAAAAACTTTTTTTGAAAGGTAAGGTACTGCTGAATGGCAATCAGAAATACTGGCTGGTTTACACATAAATTGTTCTTTCTTAGCATTTGTTTTAAGCAAAGAAGTTTTTATTTTCTATTTTTTGTGCTACCCCAAACTTGCAACAATTCACATGAAACTTAGCATATGCCTTACAGTGGTCTTCTTACATTCTGTTAATTAAAACCTTACCTTCATAAACTAATATCTTATTTATGATATTGTACATTAAACCACTAGTAAGCTCTAGAAGTATTGCTCTCCAGTGCTGTGGCCCTTGCCACCTCTTCTGTTTACTTACGCTGGGTGCCAGCGTCGCTGTGAGCACGTGCTTCCCCGCTGGTGCTGCGGTGGGCTGTCAGCAGAGGAAGCTTGGCCGGGTCAGAGAAGAATGAGGCTGATTTGGGGATTCTTTCCCATATCTGGAAAAGCTTATTATATGGCTTTTTGTAACTGCAGAGTAGTGGGATGAGAGGAAAGGGAAACAGAGTGTCTTAAGGAGCGTTAAGAACCAAAGCACTACTTTGCATGAAACTGTTAAGGCTTGCAAAAGTAAAGCAAGATTTTCAGGAAAGCTTCAAGGATTGATTTTGCTTACGAGGAAAGGTGAGCACGAGACTTGATCTATAGCAGGTCTGGCATCCCAAACTAGAGTCTTGTACATTCAGTGCCTTCAGTTACTCTTCTAATGACAGATACTTGGGGCAACCTGAAGTCTTGTTTAAGCTCCGGTTTACATGCAATCATGCCTGTTCAAATACATGCATTTATAAAGCTGGCTTTGGGGACAGGGGGGACAGCCCTGACTTTTAGGCAAACTGTTGCCATGCTGGATGACGTAAAATTGCCAAGTGCGGTTAAAAAGCCAGCTGTGTTTTTTTTAAAAGAGGTGTTTATGTGTTTGGAGGGGCATAGAGTGGGAGAGAGAGGAAAGGAGGTGAAAACATGCATTGGATCAAAGCAGCTTGTGTTTTTTGGTGTATGCATTTTTTTGTGGGTGGTTTTCTTGGTTAGTGTTGGCTTTGGTAGGGGTTTGTGCATGTGTCCCTCCCTCAAGCACTGAGATAGACTGGAAAGAAGCCGGAGCACCAAGGTGGGACTGGGTTTCTGCCTTTTTTGTGCTTCCAAAATCAAGAAGCAGAAACGAAGCACCATGCTACTTTGAAAAATCTTCTGGCATAGATTGCTGCATAGGCTGCTTTTATGCTAATATTTGTGTATGAAAATGTTAATTATGCAAACAGTACTTTTTAAAGTACTTTTGCACATGTCCGACTTTCCCAAAATGCACCTAACTGCTTTGGGGGTGTGTGGTTTGTGCTTTGTATGTTGTTGCATCTCCAGTGGTCCCCATCCTGAATGACGATGGGGTGGGGGGATATCTGTGGCTTTGCAAACCATGTTGTGTGATTCTGGTTTCTTGTTACTTGTATTTTTTTCCACATTACTAATGTGCTGAGATGCTACAAATTCTCCAATAAAAACCCTCAAACTGTTGGGTTTTTGTTGCCTTTTTTTTCCTTTTTTTAAAAGCCACATAAATTAAGTCCTGAATTACATACAGCTGTCTCAATTTGCAACCACTTGGTTGATTCAACTGTCTATAAGCAACATACTAGCTCCCTTACTCAGAACCAGCTTAAGTTTGAGCTGCTCACTCAGAGTCCTGTGGAAATGTAACTACTCCTGGAGCAGAAGGATGTGCCCAGTGTAGCACTGGGTGTACAGTCAGTTTGCAGGTAGGAAGTGTTTTTTAAAAACATGAAGGGTAAAACCCTGTTACTGTGAAGGTTTTGTGGGTAGTTTGGATGGAGGTTTCTGTAGGCATTTCTTTTGATTTCCAATGATAGCACAACAGTATGTCCATCTTGTTGGCACTTTTGCACCAAGAAAATAAGCTATCTAAAATGACAGGAGCTGGGGTCGTTTCACTCTGAACTGCTGCTGCAGGACTGTGGTCAGGAAAAGAACGTGGGACAAAACCAGAGTCAGAGTATCTTGGTTCTCTTTTTAATCACAAAGTGATGCCTTAACTTACCCCTTGGCATTAGTTCTTAGGGCTTTCATTGTATCGAAGTTTTTTGGTACGTAACTGTTCTTTTTGGCAGATGAAACACGAAATTGCTCTCAAATCAGGGTGGTGGTTTTGATATAACAAGGTTGCTGAGGCAGCAAAATATTAAGCACGTACATACAACTAATGACATTGAAAGACCAACATCAGTGCATTGTTCAGTGATAAGCAGGACTGGGATGACGGAAAATGAGTTTGGCCTGCCTTTCTTTGAAGATGACAGCTCTAGAGCTCATCTTGAATATCAATAGTGAAGGTGTTTGCACTCAGTCAAGCCAGTTATCTGTACCAGGAGACATGCAGGCATTAAAGCATGTAAAGTAAGCTTTGATCAGGCGTGTAAGCAGGAAGCTGCTCTAGTATAAATGCGAACCAATTCCATGACTAGATTTCATTTTCAAGGAAATTAGGACATACTGACTGGTAACACTTGGTGCACAGGAGCTGAAAAAGCACAGTGCAGGTCCAGCCATTCTGTATAAACACTGAACGGCCCTTGCTGAAATGATTATGCCTAAAAATACAACAAAATGCTTCAGATGAAGGAGAAAAGATAGGAAATCAAGAACTTTCACGGATCTCCTTTCTTCCACGTGTAGTTTTAAGCAAAGCTTTATTTCCTCAGGCAATATTAAACAATTCATAAACTTTAAAATTTATCTAGAGAATATGGGTACCTATTTGTATAGCATATTAATTTGAGCCAATTCTTTTCTTTGATGCTGAAGATTATCGCAACCTCCTGAGTAAGCTGTTTGACCACTAGAACAAGTCTTGCACAGTGAAAATGAACAAAGATATGCAAATATGACTTAAAATGAAAAGAAACTTGCAAATGCTGCTTTATTTAATTCTTACAACAGGGAGGCACTTTTACATTTTTTTTTTTTTTTAAAAAGTGTAGAGGTTTCATTATAACACCCTAAAATGTTCTTCCATGAAAACAAAAAAAGTTACTTTTTTTGCTTTAATTTCACCTTTATACCACTTACTATACTTAAACAAAACCTTAAAAAAAAAAACCCCAAACAACCAAACCCCTGGGTGTCGGTCGTATGGTATTCCTGTTGATAGGCAGCTACATATGAACCAGTGCTGCATGGATTCGGAGACTGTGCTGAGGCTGGCCAGTGTGAAAGTCAGAGAAAATCCTGTATTACTTTACACAAGTGGGAAGTGAAGTTAACAATAACTTCAGACAAAGCAATAACGTTGAAAGATGGGCTCAGATTCTGCAATACTGATGTACTAATATTAGTACTCGACAATGAAAGAAACCTCACAAATGTCACTGGGAGTATCTCTGGAGAAAGGCAATCCTCAAAATTAATATTGTCACAATCCATCCTTCTGTACATACATTTCCACTTCAGTGTCTCAAGTGAAGAAAGCAAACCTCAAGTCAAGAATCTTGGCAGATAAATGTCTCTCTGGTTGATGGATGAGAGTATATATTCATCACTTACAGCAATTCTTACTATTTATTTGGTTTGGGGTTAACGAAACCACCAGGTGAGTGGCACAGGGAGGCTTCTGGCTCTGAAAATGAGATTGGAAGTGGAAAGAACACTCAAAGGATGCTAAAGAAATATTAGAAATGCTTGAAGTGAGCACACCTGAGGAAAACAATACTTTTCTAATCACCTCTTCTGTTAAAGTTGGCTGAGCAGAACATGGCTTTACATTCTGATGTTACCAGCAAAATTCAGGCTTTCAAGTATGTCAGAAACACAACTGCAACAGGGCTGAAAAATAAATCTCTTCTGGGGATCGGTGAATGCAAGGTTTACCTAAATAAAGGGAATATGATGGACCATTAGAGGGTGGTCATATTGAGGAGTGCTAGATTTGACACAAATGGAATAAATGTTTGCTGCCATTTCTCAGCCTTACTTAGCAAACTCTTTTATATCCTGTGATGAAGACCAGTGCTCCTTCTTTCAAGCCATCTCCTCTATTTTCTAAAATTGCTTGGTGTGCGTTTTAAACCCACTTTGAAAGTAAATTACCTGACCTCATCCAGAACTCTGTTAAAAGTCTAAAGCTGGGTTCCTAAAGCAGAATAATTAAAGCTGGTACAGTATAATAAGAGCTATTTTCAAAGATTTAGCTACTTACAAAAGCATTTCAGTTTTGAAGTTGCTTTGCCAATACTGATACAACTTGTAAACATATTCACAGAGTCCTTGGGCTCTGGATTCCTGGGTATTTTTTCTTTTACCAAAAGCGCATATTATAAAACCTGTACAGATTTATTTTTTTTCTTTGTATGTTATGCTTGGAAAAGTTTAATGAGACTGGCTTTGTTTAGACTCAAATACATTATCAAAACTTGCAACTTGTAATTTTGTGCTGATATATGAAGAATAAGAACTAAAATTGGTTCTAAACAGAACTTCCTGAACTTTCTCTCCAAAGTAAATATATCAAGGGCATAGTATGAACATGGAAGATAAATCTAGCTTTAAGATTTATCACTGATATGAATAAGAGGACATTGTAAGAATTTTGATCTTGATTGTCTCTTTACAGCTGAAAAGAGAGGGGAGTTTTTTCCCCCCATTTTATATAGAATGGGGGAAAACACGCCATTGATTATTTTCCTGGCACACTTTGAATAAAGTAATACAGGCTTCATTATGGTATGAGACTAATTACACAAATTATATCTGAAAGAAAAACGTTAAATTAAGAATTGAATGGTTACTGCATAATCAGTGGGCACGAGTGAGATCTAATGTCATTGTGTTTAGAAATGGCTTCATCCAGATCCAGCTGTCTGTTGTTGACCTTCACCTCCATGCAGCCGTTATAAAAAGCAGTTACTAACGTAGCACCCAGAGGAACATCTGCACAGAAACACATTCAGTTTATTAGGCCAAGGCATGCAAATTCTTATGTATTTTTCAGATTAGCAAAAACATGGGGAAAATTCCATTCCCTATCCATTACTCAGCCATGGGAGAAAAGAGCAGTTTGGCGGGAAACACTCAAGTTCTTCTCCCTTTTGTTTGAGATAAAGTCAGCAAAGCTGAGAAAGGGCAGTAAAATTTAAAATGTGCCTTAGAAGTCTATTCCCATCCAGAAACCTAACTATGTGAATGTTTTTCATAGTAGCAGTTCCTGTATTAACAACTGTGAACCAATAGTTTGTTTCCTGGAGTCCACCGTTCTTGTCCTGACCTACAAACAGATGTTTACGGGCTTCAAGGTCACAGAAAGAACCATCTTGCTTTTGCCAGAAAGCTACTCTGGATTCAAATCTGCAAGTCCTCAGATGGGAGACCCCTGGGAACTCCACACATTTTACTGCTTCTTCAAAGTGAATTCTCTGTAAAAGACTTTATCTGTTGCTCATTTAGGTATCGTTGGGTTATGGCAACATCGGATCCTGGATACGCTTCCAGGAAACAATGTGTTAAGCTGAAAATCAAGCAGGCATTGCTCTGAGGTCTTAGGGTACAATTGGATTTTTACAAGGTAGACGTAAGGTGATCCAAATGCCTTCAGTAACTAGAATGAGGATACCTAGAAGCTGACTTCAAAAGCATTTTTTTTTCCAGATGTTAATCATCCTATTCCTCCTAGACGATAGACTTGATTGTCTGGGGAACAAGAAATGTTGCTTCATTGTGATTTTTATTTTGCTGCATGCTGAGGTACTGGACAAACAGTCCTGTAGAATTGTGCCCTTCTGCACGTTTTACTCCAGCGATGACAACACTGCTGTCACAGAACTGTGCAAGTCTCATTTAGCCTGCATTAGCTGTGCTGAATTAATTAACAAAGAGGCATACTCCCAACGCTGTTACTAGTTTAAGAAACGTGCATCCAAAATGGGAACTTCCAGTCTTCATGAAATGAGCATTTTTGTCAGGTGCCTCTTCACCACACAGGTCTGTGCACTGTAGCTCAGTGTGGGGATCCTTGCCCACCTTTTTATACCACTCTGCAATTCCAAAGGCTTTTCAGGGGTGAGTTAGAGTGAGCAAATGAATCAGTGTAGTCAAACTGGCTGTACACAGAGACCTAAATTAGGTTCCCTGTATCACTTTTTCTGTCTTGGGTAACAGAGGCTGTTGTGGAAGCAGCTCCTTTGGATACTTTGAGATTGGTGGGGTTTTGTTGGTTTTTTTGAGACCTCTAAGTAGAAACTGTTTATGCATACAGTTATTTTTGTTAATTTGCATGTTGAAGATACATTTTAAACCTGAGAGATGACGCTTACTTTTAAGGAGCAGCAAGTAACTAATACTTGCTTCTTAAATATTTGGGATGCGTGAATGAAGCCAAGGTCTTAGCTGTTAAGATGCCAATTACTCTGTGGCTGGCAATGTACTAGACAGAATCATTTAAATATCACAAAGATGAAGAGGTCTAAAAAATCACCAGCAACTCAGTTACTATGGCGCAGTTAACTGACTGACTCACGTCTACTAAGTAAACACTGACTTCAGCTCTCTCTTAAAAGTGAGCTGGTATTACAAAAACACTGACGCTTACCTATTGCGGTATGTGACGGTACTATACCATTAGTGCATTCTTCTCATTCACTCTACACCTTCAATTTGAATCAAACTCACCTGGTTACCTGGTTTTCAAGATATTGCATATCCATTCAAAAATGAAATTAGATGAGAAATTGTCATATTTGGTATCTAAATCTTGTTACATCCTTGATTATCAGTGTATGAAGACTTGTAGAGAACAAGTAAATTCCAATACATTGGCCTGGAAACCGAGGCAGCTACCACTTCAGACAGAGGCTGCGGTACCTGCAGTGCTGCCCTAAACACCTTGCTTCTATTCTGACAAGCAAGTCTAGAAAGTGGAACCATAATTCCAACTTCTTCTGTGTATGCTACCTTGGAAGAAATGCCTGGAGAGATCATTTCTAATGGATACACAATTCCTCCTCTCTCTTTACTCCTGTGCACCCTTGTCTCCTGCAGAAGACCAGCTATATCTGCAGGAGTACTATGACACTGCAGCCTACATGTAAAATGGATGTCAATTCAAGACTGTGCTGGTCAAACTCTTAGAATTTCCTTAGGAATTGTGTCTTATTCTCCCTAAAATAACTTTAACAGAGGATACAGAAAAGCTCTGCCAGTAGTAACATTGTAACCATGGTGTCTTTCCCCTACCAGTTTTCAAGTATGAGGATCTTAGGCTTTGAAAATTCCTCAACTATGGCAATGATGTTTTTCTTCACAATTCACCCTGAAGTCAAACTATTTTATAGATAATCATGTGTACGCTTGCTGTACAAAATGATGCCTGTACATGTCGTAAGACTGGGTATATACTAGCAGCATGCTTTAAACAAAATATTTGCTGTTTCAACACATTTTCTGTCTCATAAAGATTTTCAGTCATCTATTGCCCAGAGTTTAATTGCTGAAACCATATTCCTGACTTCTCCTTCTGCATTTCTGACACTTAATTTACTTACAAATGTCTAGTTTTCTTCCATGCTTGATGCAGTTCCTAAATTGTGCCAGCTGGTGGCATTTCAGAAATACGCAGTGCTCATTCCTCTCCAACTCAAAAATCAAGACATATTCTAAATTCAAACCTTTAGAGAGATACTTATGACTTTTAATGGGCCTAATAATGTTGAAAAGCAGGCTCCCTCAAAAGCTGAACAGACTGGATTAAACAAGAAGCATGCTGGGGGAAAAACCTGTCTCTTTTTGTACAGTTGTAGGCTTTTCCTAGTTTCGGTAAGGCTAAATATAATCAGGCTTGTACAAATAATCAAATTAATGAAAAGACATATAATTCACCTGGCAGGCCGCCCAAGTAGGTAACAACATTTGCCATCATTGCTTGATGCAGGATAGACAGTTGCTCTGAATCGCTTCTGTCTGTGTGTGAATCGACAGACAGCTCAAGCTGCTGTTTGGTTACCAGAAGTCCAACCAGCACTTTTCTGGGTGTACATAACTTTTTTGATTCCAGATGTGCAACAGTGATGTTTCCAATGGTCGCAATGATTTTCTAAATGGAAGAATGGTAGGTCACAAAAGATGTCACGTGTAACTTTAACACACAATTATACTTAGTTCTGATGCACTTTATATTTGGGAGTGGAAGAAAAGGAAATGTTAGAGCCACATTTTATAAAACCAGTACTTTGGCTATGGTTGTGAGGTGACATCATGTCTCCCTTACAGGCAAAAGGAGTACTGCTACAGTTTCAAAAGTAACCAGGTGTTCACTCTAGGTTCTTATTCAAGCAAAACCATGGATTAGCCATGGTGTATAATCATGCTCTATCTTGGGATGCCTGATGTAAACAGATATAAATGGAAACTTAAGGACAAAAAGATCTGTTTATAAATTGAAACTAACATGATGCCATTACTATAATATCATCATTCTACTTCTGTCATATTCCCCTTTCTGTTTGTGCATTTAGAAGGAAAGGTTAAAGAAGGCATGATGTAATGTGTAGTAACTGACATAAGAGTGCTTAGTGCTTAGTCACTGCTGTAGCAATTGTTAATAGTAACATATTTTCTGCACATAACTATATAATCTAAGTGTTCTTCAAAATATTAATTCAGCCTACCAGCTCCACTGCAAGTAAGTGTGAGTAGCTTTTTTTTTTTTAACTTACTACTATAGTTGTGAAAAATCAAATGAGACAAAACCAAGAGGTGTGACTTATATGCATATCAGCTGCTATGATAATTGTAAGATCACCTGTGAGTCAGAGGAGTTAGAGTCCACTATGGACAAAGCAAGAGGCACTGTTTCATTAGAAACCAAGGCAAACATAACACCAGTGTCTGTGGATGGGCGAATAGTCATAGTCACGTTTATTAGCCAATCTTCAGCACTGTCAAGATTATCTGTTTTAAAAAGAATAATTGAAATTAATACAGTGTCAAAAATTAGTATTTAATCTGCTGACACTATGGGAAAATTAATACTAAACTCCAGAAAAAAACAGTGAACTTTGGAACTTTTAGAAAGAACTAGAAGTCTAAAAAACCCAACCAAAACCCAACAAAAACCAAATAACCCCCCCCCAACACCCCCCCCCAACTTCAATAACTTCAATCCTGCATCTTCCCTAATCTTCTGTGCTTATTGATCTTTTTTTTTTTTTTTTGCTACCTTCTCCGTTCTGACGTGGAACAGGTGCCCCATTTATTAGACATCAGTTCAAAATTAAACCCCAAAACCTAATTTACTCATAAATTGTTCCCACTGAGTAGAAGATTGGTACATCTTGTACACCTTTACATTCCAAAGCAGTTCCACTGTTAAAATGGGAATATGCAGGTGCGTAAAGTAAGTATGCAGACAGTGCAAATATAATTTCATATGATGTGTTCAGAGAAGCTAATACAAAAGGTGAAAAATACCTCCTTAAATAGTAATTTTTATGTCTCTTCTTCCAGTGTCTCTTCCCTGCCCCCGCTCTCCTAGTCCAATCTAGTAGTTTCTTTATTTCTAGCAGTTTCTTAAAGAAGCAGAAATCCTAAAATATGAGGTGAGGTCATGTTCCTACACGTTTCCTGGATTGGAAATCTTGAAATTGGGGCAGGTCAGGCAAGAAAATTCGGGGTTCAGGAAGGAGCAAGAGGTGCACCTACAACATCTAGACTGGATATTTGTGTAGAAGCAGAATTGTATAGACTAAACTACCAGCTATCCTTTTCTCCATCCCCACTCTTCTTTTTCTGTCAATAATATGATAGCTTTCCCCATTGATGAACAGGGGACAGAATTTGGTTTCTGTAAAGTGAGTGTGTTTAACAGTGCCCATCCTTTGCAAATAAAGAATATACTTCCTAACCTAAAGCACCTCAGAAATTAAATAAATGACACCAATAGGATCAGATTTCTCATTCACGCAAATTTCTAACAGAAGTTACGGGAATCAGTGCTGGATGCAGTGGTGTACAGCTTAGTTTGTGTGTGTGGCTCTTTTTTAAAAATTTTATTTTATTTAACAATTCATTAGTTCCATCACCAGTCCAGCACAAAAGATAGGAATAGACAGAAAAATACTTACTATAGTTTATCTGAAACTCTGCCATTCCAGTGCCAGGGTAGAAGGATCCTCTCCCCACTGCTACTAAACAGTGTTTGCTTTGTTTTTCTTGAATAACTTCTTTTACACCTGAATGTCCCTGATTCATCAGGTTCCAGGCACGAATGCACCCATCCAGCCGAGGGTTAATCTGTAGAAGAATTACAGCACTAGGTGTTCGCATTCAAAGTTGGTTTAAAAATGTGAATACTAAGGCATTACTTTATATGTAAACTTATTTCTGGGTAGCCAGAAATAGCTTCATCAATGGTATAGGTTACAGCACTGATGCTGGAAGAAAACAAATGGCATGCATTTAGTACCTCAGACTTCAAAAGGTATTTCTGATTTAATAACACTTCACATTTTGATGCCAGTGATCTGTACAAAATAGATTGCTTCAATTTTTAAAGCTCATGCTGTCCTTTTACTTAGGTCACAATGGCTTTTCTGTAGCTGAAAGACAATGATCACTAGCACTGTTCCTTGTTCAAGGTTTCATCTTCTCCTTGTACCAATGTACAAAGAAATTTCTGGAATTACTTTCTATTGGGTAAGGGGATGCTGGTTTATTGCTTCATATTTTTTCTCCCTGCTTCACTTTTGAACAAAAATGGATTTAAAGGGAAAAAAAAGTGCAGCTTCTATTGTACAGTTACTTTTTGCATCTCTGTTTCGACTGCCAATTAGTTTGAGGCCTCCTGGACTGAGAAGCAGACAGTCACAACAACTTGACTGTACCCATCCCCAGCATAAGACAGAGCTGTTGCGGATGGAAGACTGAAAGAATCATGGGCCTTGTTGAGCTTGGGCTATTATAAAACCTATTAAAAATGAAAGCTCATTGTGCTGCCTGCACAGGGAATTGCATACCTATTCAGAGCCTAGCAAAGGCCAGCACCAGAAACATGAATCACTCTGAAATGCTCTTGCAGCATAAGTGGTGGTGATTTAGGGAATCTTAAAGCTATATTAGAAAACAGGCTACAGAATCCTGAAAGATTAGACCACAAGTGCTCTGTTCTTATAACTGAAACCTAACTGAAGACAGACTACAAAGCTTTATGCATGTTTATTTTCAAAATAGTGGTTTAATAACCTGATTTTCACTTTCTAAATGGATTCCATGCCACTCTTCCTTCCTCTGTGAATACTAAGTAAACAATACAAACCCATACAAATAACAGAACAGTATTAATCAAAATTAGTCTTATCATTTTAGTTACCTGTTTAACAAGAGTATTGCCCACTTTGCGAGGTAATCCTGCAATGTACACTTTAGTTTCCAAGAAACCCTGTGATTGTTTAAAAAGAGTTCCTGGGCTGTTAATACTCATCACGGCTTCTTTAGCTATTTTTACACTGATGCTGTGTTCTAGTTCTTCAACTGATATCTAGAATTAAATACAAATAATTACATATTCTACATGTTTGTGTGTGTGTATATATTTTAAATACTAATTACATACATGAAGCATTACTCATGTTTCTCTAAACATCTAACTTGTAAAATAGTTTTAATGCAGTCAACATTTACAGCACACTTAAACTTGAATCATGACAGCTGTCCATATCCACAGACATCCACAGGAGGATGATCTTCCATTCTACCCCCATCCTATCCCTGGGAAACCCCATGCAGCTGATTAGTTTGCTTTATGCGCTATAGAGTTTGCAAGAAGCTGATTTCTACAATTGCTCTGTATTCAATCCACATCTGGCATACAGTTCTCCATGCCAGTCCAACATGCTACAGAAGACTGAATCTTCACATGGGATGTAGACAAAATAGATTCAACACTTGCTCCCACTATTATTAGGCACCAAAGTAGATTTTTAATCTCAAGGAAGTTGTACTGAACTGAAACAAGAGGTCTATGCAGAATCCTAGCTTCTCTTGCCCCCCTTTCAAAACAAACAAACAAAATCCAACTGACGTTAATAATTCGGTCTGATTTATTGATGGTGTGAGCAAGGCCTTTCACCTCAGGTACGTAAGCTTGAAGAACAAGATAGATTTCTGGTCTAGCAAATGTAAGACTTGCTCTCTAGACAAAGTTTCTAATAACTATGCACTTGACCATGCAATCACACTTTTTAATCCTCTGCTGCTTCATTTTTCATGATTACAAAGAATAATTCCTATGCTGCCAGCTAATGGTAATTACCTCTTTCTCTATCATAAACAGGTGCCATGATTTCCCAGATGTAAGGCATTCTTGTGCATTTCTTGGTTGATTTTTAAATCTGGGATTTCAGGGCATAATTTTAAGCCTTTTTAATAGTTGCTTAGTTTCTCCCTATTTTACTTGTCAAGACAGAATGTTCCCATAGTGGGTTAAAGGAAGGAAAGGGGAGAGGAAAACTCAAGCTTACTATATGCCACAGTCCATCATTAATGGCTTTGCCTCCACTGGTGACTTTTGTTCCAAATTCATTCTTGAATTGAATTTCAATCTTCCCATCACGAAGAGCAAGCAAGATCCATGCTGTATTGTCAAGGGACTCTGCATATAGTATAACTCCCTCTGCATCATATGTCCGGAAATCAAATTCTGCTGTAAATCTGAGTTGTGAAGAAGAAATCTTAATAAGGTGACAGGAAACATAAAAAACTGTATAGCCTAGGATAACTCATTAATAGGAGGGGGAAAAAAAAAGTTCATAGATATTAACTTTTTGGTCACTCTGTGTCTGAGCAGTTGTGATATTTGCACACAATTAGTCAAAAGCAGAATCTAATGTAATTCTTGTTCATCCAAATCCAGTGAAAAGTTTTGAGATTAATGCCCTGAGCTGTTATTTGAAAGAGCCGTTCAGTTCCCAAATACGCTGTGAGCTTTACATGTGAAGGATATCACACCCCCTTGAGTAAGAAGATAGATGTAATATTCCTATTCCATTTCATGGACATGTGATGCAGAAAAACATATATGATCGATGATGTGCTTCAGTACAACAGGGTTGCCAAGTGTTGTCCTAAAACAATTATAACCTAGCAATTTGCTTTGGTTACTATTGCCTTTTATATGTCATCCTCTAATTTATATGTCTGGATCTTGGCAGGTGGTTGAATTTGTATATGTAGCAAAATTATTTTTTACATACCTGTACAGTGGAAGAGAGAAAGAGTACAAGTATAGCAAAAACCAGTCCTTGTCTTCTAGAATTTTTGTACTAGACAAAATAGATTAAGGATGAAAAGAGAAAACAAAGCATTTGGAAGTTAGGATTTGCTGAAGACAAGAGAAACAAATAAGGGAGCTGTAATTAAAAACTCAGGTCGCTTTCACTCTCAGTCTTGTTCTTTGTCCACTAGATGTCATTGTCTCTCACGCAGACCCACCGAAAAAATCATTCTGTATTTACAGAGACTATTAAGATCGCTTCAAACACTTGTCATCTTGGAAAGGTCTGTTAGGAGAGCACTAATGCCTGGTCAACTTGGAATAGTGGCAGAGAAAAAAGTTCTCGGTATTTATGTCCTTCTGTAAGGTTCTGAGGCTCTGGGGATCACCAGCTCAACAGCTGCTGCTGCTGTTACCCTCAAATTGTTCGGTCAGTAAGTCAAGGAACACTGCAATTTCAGCTGCTGCAGTGAAGAAGTCGAAGAGTAATAAAGGGGTCATTACCATTAGCAATTGTTCTGACAGCTGTAAAGGAAATCATACAGACAGTGCTCTAAGACAAGGTACTGTGCTCTATCGGTGTCCTTGGAACACTGTGAAAGGAAGCACGGAGGCTGGGGGGGGGAAGCATTGGCCTGGTCTTATTTCTCAGCAGTATGTGTGTACCATGTCACAGCTTCTACCCAGAGCAGAAGTGAAGCAGCAGCAACATCCAAACAAAAGCCACTCCCATATATAACTGGATGCTGTACAGTAATTATTCTCCTGTCACATCTGAATTTTATGTTGAGAATTTTAAATGCCTTCCTGTATCTGTATTGCTGCCTCCCACCTTCCCCAGCCCCTCATCTTTCCCTCAGGAGAAGAGTAAGCTACTGTCATGAGGAAGCACCAATCTTTTTGCTCTCTTTGTTCACTAACAATGGGACCTACTGCCTATTAAACTTACTGCCCTCAATTCTCTTCCTTTTTCACCCATTCAAGTCTGGATCTCTTCAAACTCTTTCTTCCAGTCCATATACCTCTCCCTGCAGCAGCACTGCTAATCAGAACTGTAATGGCTGGAAGACTCCAGCTGTGTTATTTGTAGATATGATCACATCTGAATGCCAATGGTGCATGTCTTGCCCCAGCTGTGCACTGTTTCCTGGCTGGGACAGAGCTGCTACTGCCTCCTTACCTGCTTCTGAGGTATCTGGAAGAAACTTGTTGACCTTCTAGTTTTGCCACTTGAGAGAGCTGTTGTCTATACTGATGAGGTGGCTCAAGGACACGGTATAACCAATAAGAGATGCTATAAACTGCCTGCAGACACATTACTCTTGCTTGTCCACTTCCAAATTACTCCAGCTTCCTCTACGTGCTAGTATATGTAGGAACCGGAGTCAGTTCATTCTCCATCGAAAGGTATCTTAACTAGCAGGGAGACGGTGGTATAATTTATGCATGCAATGCACTCCTTCTAAACCCTCAGAAAATTAATGGAAACAAATGTCTGTAATTTCAATGCATACTTTTATCAATAGCAAATACTTACCTTGTCACATTCGGTAATTTAAACTTTAAGTACAGAACAGGAATTCCTATAAATTGCTCTGCCAGGTAAAGCAGTTCATAATTCTTTTCAAGGTTCAGTGGGATACACGCAGTAACAGACTGAAAATGGCAGAGAATACAAACAGCTGTTAATGCATTGTGCTGGTTCATGAAACAACTCCTATTGCTGGCTGTTAGCCTGTTCTTTTTTTCTTTCTTTTTTTTTTTTTTTAAATCAATGGCTTACCTCTGTTTATTCTTTTGTTGTTTTTTTTCTTTTTTAAACTTGAATACCTATGAAGGGATATGTTTTTTCTTTTTGCTTGAAATGTCCATTTATTTAAACTGTTGGAGGATAATTCAGGTTGAAACACAGTTCTGGTGGATTGCAACTACTATTTAAATATTTAGTATTTGAATCAAGAAATCAAATCTTCCATCAGGCACTTTCCTTTCACCAGGGACCTGTTGTTTGGAATCTAAACCTGATCAGGTGTTGGAAGTGAATAGGGCCAGAGCTGTGTCTTGACAAGGCTTAATAAAAAAAAAAAACCCTAAAAAATTTCAAAATCACCTTTTATTATCTTTATCAATATTGAAGAACAATTACTCATAGCTGAACAATCTCTAGTACAACTAGAATAATGTATCTGGAATAAAAAGTAACAATTTACAAGGAACAGTTTAATAGAAAATGTTTCTATCTGGCTGTTCTTTTAATGTTCTGTTTGAGCTCTGGAAAGGAATGTTGATGAAATCAACACCACAATTC